GTATGTATGTATGTATGTATGTATGTATGTATGTGTATGTATGTGTATGTATGTGTATGTATGTGTATGTATGTGTATGTGTATGTGTATGTGTATGTGTATGTGTATGTGTATGTGTATGTGTATGTACGTATGTATGTATGTATGTATGTACGTATGTGTGTATGTATGGATGTATTCATGTATGTGTGTATGTATGTGTGTATGTATGTATGTATGTATGTATGTATGTATGTATGTATGTATGTATTCCAGCATGTATGTATGTATGTATACATGCATGTATGTATGTACCATATACTTATGTATGGCATGGGTCTCTACTGCACGGTTACAATGGAAGTAACATGGTCAAGATCAGACAATGTATTTTAAACCTTATTGTATAAGCATATAACATAGTATAACATATCACAGCATTACACAAGATGATACAGTACAATACAATACAATACAATACACTGCAATGAAATAGCATGCAATCTAGCATTTTATAGTTTATCTCGTATTACACACTTTGTTTTAAATATGTATTGGACTATGGTACTATATTACATAGCTGGCAAGCCGCACCCTCGCCCTTGGAGGCTCCCCCCCCCCCTCCCCGTCGTGAATGGGCTGTGATACAGTGCGAGCCAAGTCAGATCACGAGCGGCAGAAGGCGAAGACACGGTATATTACAGTGAAGTAGAGCCATCTCGGGAGGAGATCGCAAGTGCCCCCTGCTCATGGCAGGATCGTCCTTCCGAATCTCTGCGCGCCTACGCGCGACGAAGCAAATACTTGCCGAACGAAAGCCGCAGTTCGAGCTGTGGGGTGTCTGGATTGTGACCTGCTTCGAGGTTTGGTCTACCTTGATGTTTGTACAGCTATCTGCGCTGACAAGCTTCGTTTGGCTTGCTGCCCCTGTTGTTGCTTTGCAGTGCTTCGTCGCTGCCTGTCACCGACACTGCCAGACACTGAAAGAGACAGGCAAGCTCACAGGGCGTACTGCATGCCGAGCATCAAAGTTGGCTTCTTTGTTCATCTTCTTCCCGTGGAGATACTCACACTTTGGGCTGTATCGCAGACAGTCATCAGCATCATGCTTCTACTTCTTCGCATACATACTGCGTATTGGCTGTATCGTGGTGATGATACAGGCATTTGCATCCACGCCTGAGGGTGTCTCAAGCTCTGCAAATAATTCAACATTGGACTGCACAGGGCTTCTGCAGAATCTGACAAAAAAAAAGCCTAATTGGGATACTCCGCTGGACGAAGGCAAGCAGAGACTGACCTACCTGGTCTCTTGTCAGCTGCCTGTTGTCGTGGCTACAGCCAGTCTGTTCCAGTCCTTGCCTGTCGGAGCATTTCTCCTGTCAGTGACAGGCAAGTTTGTCATGGAAGCTCGGACGATGTTTCGTCACTGTGAGTGGTGCAATGTGAAAACGGACCGATCCCTGCGAGCAGAAATCGACCACAAGGCACGGGACATCAGAAACAGCATGGCAGCTGGCACACTGGAACCGTCTTGGAAGGACCGGAAGCTTCTTGACCTGGAGGTGGTGTTGCTCCTGTTGGATGTTGTCTCTGATCTCAATTGCATATTGCAGTTTGCACTGGCTTCTCGCTGGGGTTGGGCCGCTGCGCAGTCTGCAGTTTTCCTTTTGAGTCTGGCCTTCGAGCTCAGGGCAGCGTCAGCAAGCTCCTTGGTAGGAGCCGTGTGGGAGAGTCGCAAATGCGGATATCCCACAGATGAGTACCTGATCTTTGTCCGGACCGAAAAGACTATAGAGGCTCCATTTTCCTTGCTGCTGCAATATTATGCCACATTTTATGTTCTTGACCCACTGCTGTTTTTGAGCGCGTGTTTCTCGATGGTCCTGAGCAGTTTCAGTGTGGCAAAGGGTGCCTACGAGCAGCTGCACCTAGCTCTGGATGAAGCAGTGGACCAGGCGGAAGAGTTGGCTGAGAAGCATAATGATAAGCCTCCAATCCAAGTGGAGCCGGTCGGCCGTCGGACTTTGGACCGGGAATGAACCGTGGAGATCGTTTCACATCATGTGCAAAATATATGCTCCTCAAAGAACCGAAACGCAACTTCATCGGGCCGTATGACAATAAGTACACATCTTTTTGCCTTCACGCTCAAAGACAGCTGCAAGGCTCTGCAGCCTAGCACGGATGCTAGGATGACTATGAGTGTTTTTTTATGCATAGATGATGGAGGGTGGTTCAGAAAGCGACCCAGTCCCGTCGCCTCTACTGTACGTATCGGAACTACTACATGCACGCCCGGTGGAAAAGCGTCCTGCACAGAGAACACCCGAGAGAGAAGGGTCCGACAGAAGAACAGATATAAACACAAACCCCAGCTGTGACCCCTAACTTACTCTCAAGCTTGAAACCGTAGCAATCAACAACAGCAGTAGTGATGTTGGTGAGTGGCGTCACATTAATTAGTCCTCTACGATATGCAAGATGATGTGCATACTGGAATCTCTCCCCTCAGCTCGCTGTTGCTGCTGCCGCTGCTGCCGCTGCTGCTGCTGCTGCCGCTGCTGCTGCTGCTGCTGCTGCTGCTGCTGCTGCTGCTGCTGCTGCATGCCCGCGAGTCAACCAGGGCATCGGGCATAATAGGCTTGTGTTTGATACTGCTCCACAGGACAGGTTGAACCGACATAGAAACGCTGCAGCTCTCGTTTTACTCATTCGCCTCTAGGGATTCGGTCCATGTCAGCATTGGCCATTTGCCATTTTCCAGTTGCATCTCAAGACAGGTGCGTATCATTTACAATCCCGACTAAATTTCAAGAGCAGCAGTGGCAGATGCATGAAGTGGCAGATAAGGAGAAATAAGAGCTTGACTATTTGAGCAAAGCTTGCTCCACAGAGGATTCAAGACACAAGGGTAGGCGTGGACAGTGGCCGTCAGGGCAGGCGTGCTGGCTGGAAGCCGCGCGGCTTAACAAGAACATGTCGCTCAAGGTTCGTCGCTTCATCCGCGACCTTCCAGCTCCTGATTGTTAGGAGGACTTAGCCGCACACTTGCATCACTTGCAACCGTGGTACTCTTACCATCATCATCGCTCTTAATTATCATGGTGGATAGGGACTCGTCGAGCATCGTAGAGTGGACAGACTCAGAGTGTGTCAGGGAATGGCAAACAACCGGCACACCATCCTGCTGGTACAGCCTGATCCTCAGAATCGTCGCACCCGTTTTGGGCAACCCTAAAACCTACAAGTAGCACTTAAGCCAGAAGTGGGGCAGCCCTGCTTGCTCGAGAAGATCTGTGACAGTTAGCGCGGGTTGAGACGAACAGGCAATGTGGCCGCTTGCTGTCATAACTTTTATGACATTCGCATGGCCTGCAAGCTACTACATGAGCCGGTGGACTCGCGAGCCCGCCATCTTTTCTCGGTATCCGCAGAGGTTCGATGATTCGAAGGATGCGAGAACCTACATCGACTACCCCGGGATTCGAGAGGCTGCGACACGGTCATCCGCAATCCGGGTTTTTAAACAGCAGCTCGAAACCTACTGCTTTCGTTGCCGCTTTCTGGCTTCCAAATGCGAGAGTATGACGGACAGGCGAAAGCAGTAAAAACAACAACAGTGCTAGCAGAAACCGTGTCAAGAACAGCAACAGCAATAATGTCGGTTGCACCCTGAACAAGCAGTACAACACCACCGCCACCGCCACAACCAACCCACCCACACACTCCCCGGCCACCGCCCACCACCGCCACCCCACACCAACCCCACCCCTACCTGCATCACCACCACCGCCAACCGCCACCGTGGCCAACAACAGTAGCAACAACAACAATACCAACAGCATCAGGAACAGCAACAGTAACACTGCGGCTGCTGCTACTGATGATGATGCTGCTATATTTCCTGCTCCTACTGTAGTCCTGTTACTTACTGCGAGTCGTTCCACTGTTGCTGCTGCCGCTGCTGCTGCTGCTGCTGCTGCTGCTGCTGCTGCCACCTACATTTCACTAGCCCTTGGCGGCGCCTGCTAAAACCTGCGACCAAGACCGACTGCCCGCTGCAAATACCTACGTCAATCAAGTACCTACCTCAATCATGTGGTGTCAGGTGAATGTTCGTGGCAACAGTCGTCGTAATCGCACTGAGTGTGAAAATGCTGTTAAACTTGGTCGTAGTCATCATCGCGGCAACAGATGGGAGCCCCAATATACAGCAGGATCACCAACAAATCGAGACGCCCATCCCCGTAGAAAAAGTGTGGGGAAGTGCACCTGTGGTTTTGATGGAGGCCATGGACGGCGTTTGCCAACTCTACGAGCAAAGCCTCAAGGCACAGCGGCGGGCTGTGGAGACTCTCTCCCCAGAAGCTTATGTCCGAAAAGTAAAGGTAGCTGACCAGGTAGCTTGTTTGAAGATTACAGTGGTCCGCTTGTATGATTTAGGGTCTATGTTAGAGTCCCTTGTTCTCTGAAGCTACCACACAGCCAGTCCCGTAAGCAGTGCCATGACATCTCCGATGCTTTTAAAGTTCCGAAGCCCTGAGCCCTGAGCAAGGCGATGAACCCTCAGCTCAGAAGCACCACATATGACGTGAAAGATCTTTACAGCGGGAGCCTCAGCAAGCTCTACGCTGTGGCCTCCGAGTTTTTTTTTGGAGGTTCGTGGCAAGGTTCTCTAGCATAGTATAACTTGAACATCAATCAAGGCTCCGGTATCGAATCCACTTGTGGGTCGTGGGTCGAGTTTAGGCTTTGGGACTAACTTGTGTGATCCTCCGGGGCCTCTCCATCGCTTTCAACCTACCTTAAGAACCCAAAACCCACTTTTTGTAGGTTCTTATTATAAACCCTAATATGGGATTTATAGGGACCCTACAAAAAAAGTGGGTTTTGGGTTCTTAAGGTATCTTCAAAACTCAGAGTGTCGTTCTTGTCACCCTCTGAACAATGCCCTTCACCACTGAACCCACAGCCCGTAAACTCCGAAATTCCAAGCCCATTGGATCCTAAAAGCGCTGGTCTCCCAAGCCTCTCGAACTTCTTGAACCCTAAATTACTAAAACACCTGCAACCCAAAGCCTACTTAAATCCCTTTATAGCCCTTCTCAGAAAGGCTTTATCGACACAGTGCAAGATCTCAGCTGCCTCGTCTTCAATCCCCGAGCGAACCTCGCCTGCAGCCGTGAGTTTTCATCACTTTGGTTTCCTTTGGACATCTCGGATTGAAGGTTGTCGGCTTAGTCCAGACGTTGTTGTTTGTGGTTCAGAGTGAGGCTTCGACGCTTTGGGATTGGGGTACGCGATGGGTTCGGGCTTCAATGGTGGACACGAGAATCCTTTCCGTCTTCGCGAGCTGCGGGAAATCTGGTGGATATTCCTTTGACCAGCCTGTGCCGATGAACCCTAAACCCTAAACCCTAAACCCTAAACCCCAATCCCTGGACTCGTAGACTTTCATCCTTACCCTGAACCCTAAACCTTACGATGCGGATCCTAAACGGTGCTTGCCGTTTTAGCCTTGCAGATGCCAAGGGGCTCTTACGTGCCGCACAACAAGGATTGGATTAAGGCGCCAGGGCTCTTTCGCAGGTTTTTTCCATTTTGGGTTTGGACTGTAAGGGACTGAACAATGACCGGAGACAGCTTGGCTTTGCAAGGGGTAGTCTACAGCTCATGGATACGCGCTCCTAAAGCGTCAAGGTTCTTTAAGAGCTGCATGCCGCTTGAGTTGTGCTGTTCGGCACAGATTTTCGTCCAAATGCGGCACCTCAGCGACGCTGCGTGCGCTGCGATGCTTTCTAGGCTCATGTCGCCGCACACGACGGCTTGAAGAATCCTGAAGTCTGGAACAAGTTGGGTACTGATTTCTTTCTAGCACACCCGAAAACAGACTGCTATACCCAGACAGCAAGCAGATGGCATGGGAGGTGGAGGTCTTCAACCACCTGAAGTCACAGGTCCAGCAATGAGCCGGTACGGGCACATGGCCTTGTGAAGGGTTCGCTTGCTGTCCTGCAACCGCGATCGCTCAAGCCGGCGCCTGTCAAAATCTGCCTTGTCTTTCGTAACATTGCGGTATTCTTGTCGTTATCGTGCGCAGCAGAAGTAGCAGTCGCAGTCGCGGTCGCGGTCGTAGTCATCGTCGTGGTACTGGTTGTAGTGGTAATGGCAGTGGTAGTGCTTGTGCTAGTGCCGGTGCGAGGTAGTAATAGTCGTAGTCGTAGAAATAGTAGTAGTAGTAGNNGCAGGAGCAGGAGCAGAAGCAGGAGCAGGAGCAGGAGCAGTAGCAGTAGCAGAAGCAGTAACAGTAGCAGTAGCAGAAGCAGTAACAGTAACAGTAACAACAGTAGTAACAGTAGTAACAGTAGTAACAGTAGTAGCAGTAGTAACAGTAGAAACAGTAGTAACAGTAGTAACAGTAGTAACAATACTGAGAGTAGTAAGAGTAGTTAGTGGCAGTAGTAAGTGTAGTAACAGTAGTAACAGTAGTAGCAGTAGTAACAGTAGTAGCAGTAGTAGCAGTAGTAGTAGTAGTAGTAGTAGTAGTAGTAGTAGCAGCAGTGGTAGTAGTAGTAGTAGTAGTAGTAGTAGCAGAAATAGTAGTATTAGTAGTAGTAGTAGTAGTAGTAGTAGTAGTAGTAGTCGCAGTCGTAGTCGTAGTCGTAGTCGTAGTCAGTAGTAGTAGTCAGTAGTAGTAGTCAGTAGTAGTAGTAGCAGTAGTAGTAGTAGTAGTAGTAGTAGTAGTAAGTAGTAGTGGTAAGAGTAGTAGCGGTCGTATTGGGCGGTACTGGTGGTGGTGTGGTAGTAGTAGTCGTCGTCGTCATCGTCGTCGTAGTCGTAGTCGTAGTGGCACTGGTAGTGGTACGTAGTTCCATTACAGCAGTCATGGCCGTGGTAATGGCCATATCCATATCTGCCACGTACAGTGCTCACAAGTGTTTCTACGAGATGCCAGTGCAGTGCCTGGTGTCGTAACGCAAGTTGCTGCAGCATTCTCGTGCCTTATCTTGCAAAGTTGCACACCTTGGTGGCTCACAGG